CATTCCCAATAACAATTTTTTACCTATTATATACTTTAACAACAATATATTATTTGTAATCGCACAATGTGGATCCTGTAGAGGGTAGATTATACACAAATCTTACCCTTATATAATGAACGGGAGAGACTATTTTTGAAATATCCTCAGCCAATTCAATGTAGAATCAATGTTTTATTCGGAAACAACATAAATTTTATGTTATATTATTATGTTATCTATAATAACATTTCGCTATAAAAACATAAAAAAAATTCTAAACAATTGACATTATTATAAAGAGGTTCGACACATACCTGATTTCTTGTCTTGTAATCATTGAAGAAACTGAAGACATCTTGGAATTAAAGAGGAAGCCATAGATAAGTAGTTGCAATGGCAATAAAGCCTTTTGGTTGGATAGTTTCTTCATTTTTTACTATTGAAATCCTATCTCCACGGTTTAACTGTGGTGAGATTGAAAAATCTCAATGGTTGTCTGTCATGCTTAGAATTTCAAAAAACTTCTTAACCATCCTTTGAGATACTTGTATCGTATTTTTTATCCCTTCTGGATCAGGAAACACTGAAAGTAAAATCAAATTTAAATAGTACAATAACATATATATTTAGTATAATTCCACAAGTGACATCTGCAAAGGGTGGTCATATCTTGAGAAGGTAGAGGGATTGTTTTTGATAGATTCTCATTCAAGTAAAGTATATCCAAATTCAGTTATGAAAAACAAATACATAAGGATATAAAGGAGAAAAAATGTAATACTAAAGTAGAAATAAAATATTAGGAAAGTAATTAAAACAATATTGATAAAGAAACAAGATAAGTGTGTCTTTTTTGTTTTTTGGAAAATAATTTTTGTAGGAAATCTATTTTTATTTTCATATTTTATTTTGAAATTACAAAATATATTTTCTAAAAAAAAACTTCTATTGAAGATTGATAAAAAAATATTAACATATTGGAAAGTATTTTGATAATATTTCTACATGTTAAAGATAATAATAATATTTGGGTGTCGTTAAAGAACTGATATAATACTCAAAGTTGAGATGATTGTAAAGAAAAATGACTTTACACGGAAAATGAGAGAACTGGTCATTTTTTCTGTTCCTTTGATTGGAATTTATTTCTTTATAAAGTATTTCTTGGCCAATCAATAAACATCAAAAAATAAACAATTTTTTAATTGCTTAAATCATACCAAACACACCCCTTAAGGAAATACGAAAAGTTTGAAAAAGAAATGTTTCAAATTAAAAATATGAGAAAATTGTTTAAAAAAATGACTTTCAAAATTAAAAGAGTGATCATTTTCCGAGCCCATTAAAACAAAAAAAATTACACGTCAAACGTGGTTAAAATACGTATTATATATATACTTCAAAGATTAAAAAAATTTAAAAGGTCATATTTCAAACATATAAACAAAGAAAAGAGATGGATCTGGAACCCTTCAAGATTTTTAAGTTTTTAAGTAAAGCTACCTTAATTTGATGAAAAAATTACAATTGATTCTTTTCTCAACTTATAAATTAAAATTCAAAAATGTAGTAAATAAATAAAGGGAATATAAAATCAAACCTCCTTTGGAATCATGCCTGTTATGGTATGTTGAACCCATTTGAAAATTAAATCTCTCACACATCATTTGAAGTGTAACAATCCATCTTTTAGCTCCGTATGCTTCACGATCACACAATAAATCTCTAAAGATATGATTAACCTGATATTTTTCATACACTTGAACATGTTCCACCCAAGTAACCTGCAAAAGTAAAAATAATAAAGAAACAAGAATAAAAATAATTAACTTAGTTGGAAAATAATGAGGAAAGCGTGTTTGAAATTTGTATTTTTTAGCAATGGATGTCATAAGGCAAGAATTGAAAAGGACCATATGAGGACAAAGAATAATCCTCGCTCTTTTGATTCAAACATCTGCGACATGAACAACAGTGTATAGGCCGGAGTTCAACATAAAAATAAAGACTAACAACTCTAATAGCATGTTAAAAGCATAGTTATTGAATCTAACTCAATCCTAAAATAAAACATATCAGGTTGTGGGGGATTTTCCAAGGTTATACACAAACGGAAAGATTATTTTCTAAAACAATATGGGGATACATAAGTAGGTCCCCATGCAAGTCCGAAAGATGATAATTTGGAGAATAAATTAACAACATAATATGATGACCCAAAATTAGATAAATCGAGAATTAAGATAGTTTGACTCTTATATAATATTAGAAACAATAGACATCATGAAATAGGTATAAGTACGAGTAAATTTGTACCTATTTAATATACCATTTGAAAAATAAGCTACATATAAATAGTGATATGTATGTTACCCATTTGACTTGTAGAATAAGACTTGAATACTCAAATAACTGTGAAATATAGCTAGAAAGAAAGACTCTCTATGGATCCAATGGGTGCATACTTATTTCATAAAGAATAGGGGTAGAAACTGTCACTTTACCTACTACTGCTTTATTGGTAGTGCGAAAGACTTTCAGTACAAGAGATTTGATAATCCCAAGGCAAGATGGGCAGAGTGAGTTGATGATGGACTTTGAAAGGCACAAAAATGTGGGAAGTTTTCTACCAATAAGATGAATAACTATATCATGCCTACTTTTACAAGAGTAGAATGGAATAGTATTACTTTGCAACGAGGAGTACATCAAAGATTCAAATTTATTTTGTGGCTAGTAGTGCAGAAAACTTTAGCAATTGTTGAAAGACTTGAAAAGTTTGGTATTCAGGTGTCAGTTGAATATGTGTTCTGTAGTAACAGAAAGGAAACCTTTGAACCTATTTGTTTTGATTGACAAGTGACAAAGACATTATGAGAAAGAATGTGCATCTAGATTGAAATACAAAAGAAGTTTTCATGACTGAATCAAGAATATTGTTTTTGTGAGGATTGAATATAACATTTAGAGAGAAAGAAACAAGATTAGCTTCTATTGAGTAAGAGTATATGCTGATAAGGTCTTTAGAGAGATTGTACTACATATTCATCTAAGAGGACAACACAAGCCAAGATGGAAATCTTTTCTACAAACACTATATAACTATCCTTAGAGTAGCATTTCCTTTGTAATAGATTAGTTTTATGATTTGTTTGATGTATGAGTAGGAAGTTAGATGGTTAGAAGAGAAGTTGTTATGGGTGTTTCTATGTAATGATTTGTTAGTACATGAAAATCCTTTGGATAAAAAACTAAAATAAATTTCAAGAACAAATGCATGATAAGACTACATACAATTGACCACAGTAATATGGACCACGTGTATAGAGGGAGCTTAATGCACATAATTTTCCTATTATATAAAATATTGATATAGAGAGAGGATATTATTCTTACCTTACTTTGGCCATTGCCCATATCTTGAATTGCACAACCAGATGGAAACTTCAAAGAATAATAAGGTTCACCACTCTGAATGTCGTTGAATATATCATATGAAATATCCACCATGATCCATGTTGTTGCATCCAGTTGTCTACAACCACGTATGAATAAAAATTCTCTAGCTTCAACTAGAGGAGATAAAATATGCAACTTTTCATACATCTGAATTCAAGAAACAAAAAAAATGATTATTTTATGAGTCAATTTCAATATTGATTTAATTTCTAGGGGAAAAATCTAAAAGATGTATTAATATTTTACCAATTGCATAGAGCCTCCCCAAGTACCAGAATCAAGAACTTCAATAGTCTTAGCTTTTGTGACTATAGTAGGAAACAAGTTCATCCATTTGACCTACATATAAAAAATAATTACTTTTAAGCATATGATTAATTCTTAAAATACAAGTATGACAACTATGTCTAAAAATAAGTACTGATTGTCCATGTCCATAACTCCATATAAACTCATCTTAATCAATATTGTATGGGAGAAAATTAAAAAGTGAAATGGTATCAACCTAATGAGAAATAGAAATTTTTTTTGAATTCATGACATTGAGTTAGATTTCAAAATATCATGACAGTTTCTTAGATCTCTCACTTGCTCAAGTTCGAAATCCATGATATTGGAATGGTATGTTTCCACAGGAGAAGTGGTAAGTTTCCAACGAATTCTCACATAATGGATACTTTTCAAAAATAAACTAGCGCTCCCAATCTTTAATATACAAAGCATAT